TTATATTATTTTTAATTTGTGTATCGGAAATATAATTACTTATAAATACAATATAATTAATTATAATTAATTATAATTAATTATAATTATTTCCTAATATTTCTCTCGTTCGACGCCATTACAATTATAACGACAAAAATTTCACGAAGATAAAATTATAGAAACGTTTCAGAATTTAAATTTTTGCGATATCTCGAACCGATATCACGATTCACTTGATTTAATGTGCCTTCTCGACCATGGAAAGATGAAAAATGTCAAAACTAAAATCTTTCACGTGAATTATCAAAATTTGTAAGCATCGTAATAATCGAAAAAAATGATTCATATTGCGATATGTAAATAATGACAAAAGATTCATTATTGCCGTCAAGGCATATCATTTGGCCAGTCTATCGCTTGAAAATTACAAGAAATGATGAATCAAAAATGTGTATTTGATGGAAATTCTTTACAATTTGTTGAGTAATATCCAGAAATATTCTTCCAATGATCTAATACTCGATTCCTCAAAGGAATGAATTTCTTCTCTGACGAAAATAAAGATCGAAGGGTAAGTTTAAAATGTAAGAGGAAAGTGACAGTTAAATAAAACTTACAGAAAGCATAAATTGTAATAACATAAAAGAAACGTTTATCTCTTAAAACACTTCTTTTCGCTGCTCCAAGCTTTAAGTTTTCTAGAAGTTCCTTTATGTATGCTTCTGTCATTCTCCCCTTACATTTGACTTATATGCTCCGGTTTTTATTTTTATCAAGATTTTGCGTAATTTACATTTTACAGAGACGTGTGATTTTGGCACGTAACAATCTCATTGATTGGTACGCAATTAGATATGGGCGCATTCTTTGAAAATTCGATGTTTCTTTTTGTGGATGACTCAGAACCCATCTTGCCAATCTTTCGATCCACCGAATATGCCAATACAGGTAGAGTTGTGGAATTGGCAGACGTCGGTTGCGATACGGAAACCACCTTTCCCATACATTTTCCACGTGGTGCGTTTGATCGACGTCGCGGAGGAGCTGAAAACCTCGGATCGACTCGCAGAACTAAATGGTTCAATGACAGACCGAATGAATTTACTCGAAGAGCTAGCGGCATAAATAATTATGACGTAAGCAAATGCGATAGTAAACCGACATTTCAGATATTCTGAAAATTCCATTAATACACTAATAATTTATTAGAAAAGTTAATAAAAATATATCTAAACAGAAGTTTTTATTATTTCAGCCTAATATTATAATAAAAATATTATAATAAAAATACAGAAGAAAAACAATAATATATTTTTAGGAATAAAGTTTAAAATGTATACATATTTTCTTGTTGATCGTAGGATAGAAATGGAAATTACATTCGAGGGAAAATGCGGCAAGACATTCGGAATTACAATGACGAACCTGATTTCAACAATTCATATACAAAGAATTCTTATAATGATTTCGAACTACCGGAAAACGATTTTGCAGTTGAAGAAGATAATTATACCCAATTTGTAAATCCCCAAAAAGCAATTGCGCGTTCTTATAGAGAACGTATCTCGCGATATGATTATTTGAAAGATCTCGAATCTCCATTTATGCAAAATATTCACATACCTCTAAGAAAGGATGTTTCTCCGCGATGGCTTGCCAAGAGCGACAAAAAGAATTTCTGCGAAATTCATGACACCGATATTCAATCTGGTGAACGCAAAAAACGAACCAAAGTCCTTTCAAAACCCAACAGAAACTTCAATTGCAAGGCGGGTATGTTTTCTAAAAATCAATAAATGTTAAACTAATTGCAGATATTTGCAGATCCAATGAATTCGGCCATTATTTTCAATTACACGGCAAATATTGTAAAAAATTGTTTATAACAAATGTTTTTTATAACCTTGCATAATTTTAAGTTACGTAAATTTTATTCCTCGGATCTTCAAAATAAAAAAAAATCGTTCAATTATATTAATTTAAGCAAAGAT